CATCCAGAGAGACAGAACAAAGCAAGTTGGGGAGGATGACTGTGCAGAAACATTTTCAGAAGAGGAGAAAAACCCAGCCACTCTCTTTCTGCATGACCCCAGGCTTAGCACAGGGAGAGGTGAACTTGCAGGTAAGCCCCAGGTGACACACCCAAATGGGTACATGTTTCCCATGGAAACTGAAAATATGACCTCAATGCTGAACTGTCGGTGTTTATGTTCACCTTTGGTTGGGTTCCCACCCTGCCCCCTGCCCCGTTCCATTCTTGATTTTTCCTAAAATGTACAAAAGAGTATTACATTGGGAGGCAGTCACACCTATATGACTTCCCAAGTATGTATGCCCTTCCCAGCACCAAACCCACCTGAAGAGTTAGAGAGGGGGCTAACCTTATTAGCCAAGATGAAACATTCCTACTTCTGGCCATTTTATATTATTCTCAGCCAAAGTCAGGTATTAACAACAGTAACATTCAATTAAATGACCAAATAGTAGCCATTCTATAAAGGTTTGTTCCTTGGAACTGAAAGTTCAGAGGGTGTGGGGTCACAGAGAGAAGTTTCCCCACAGCATATCACACACAGATTATAACTTTGGCCTGTGGCCCTGTCCCCACCTTACCTTTCCTTAATAATGCATGATCATGGAGACACAACTCCACACAGAATCCTAGACCTTTAGAGATAAAAGGGACCTTACAGATGCTCACAAACCCAGTCTCAAGCTGCAGAAAAGCATGGGAGAAGCAGTGCTTCAACTTCAAAACCTGTCTGTGGTCCAGAGCAGCCATGAAGCCGGGAGCTCAGCTCCCCAAATATCACATTTATCTCAATTTGGCAAGAGGCTGAAAGCCTATCTGGGGCCATTTAAATTCTAATGTTATTAAAGCCTCATCTAATCAGCTTTTAAAATAAGCTGCTTTCAAATGCATAGGGAATGAAGGTGGGATAGAAGCAGGCCAAGTTAGGCAGTTCAGACCAGCCTGGTGAATGCACCTCTGTTTGAATCGCCAAAGAGCCATGAGGCGACCTGCAGGTGGGACTTCTGCAATTCTAACACCAACCCATCCTGGTGAAGAGCTATTTGTAAGTACGTGGGGGGAGAGGGCTAACATGGAAGTCCACGCTCTCCTGTGAGGTCAATCGTACACATGTGACAAGTCTTGGCAGGGAAAGATGGACTGGCCTCTGAGCCAGGAGGTGGCTTTGAGATTTAATCAACAGAGCAGCTGGCGCTTCTGAGAACTACCTCTGAATACCGCATCCTGTAGACTTCTGAGAGTTTCTACCCTCAGGAGGGCCAGCAGGATCCAACACCCCTGCCTGGATAGTTGTTCACTGGCTTCAAGGTAGACCCCTCATATCCAGCAGTGGCTTGACTATCCCTGGTGCCAAGAACTTCGTCAGCGCCATCCTGAAATGGAGCTTGAGGCTGATAAGTTTACAGCTCTGATGTGGCTTGGAATTATGATTCTGATTCTGACACCAATTCCAATGTGTGGGTTTTTTTTCTCCACACCAAGCAATTCTCTGATACCAGCTATGTGTGCTACAATTCAACTCAATTCTGATGCTCCTACCTGGAGGCAGATTCCAGTGTCAGTCTAAGGGCTCAGACCCACAAAATGGCCCCCACCTCAGATGCTAATCACAAGTCTCCTTTACCTGTGCTTCCAACTGGCTATCAATCAGAGATTCCCACGCCCCCCTCCTTGGCTTCAATTAATTTGCGACAGCAGCTCACAGAACTCAGGAAAACAGTTTATTCACTAGATTGCCAGTTTATTACCAAGGATATGAAAGGACACAAATCAAGAGCCAGATGAAGAGCTACACAGGGTGAGGTCCTGAACTAAGGAGCTTCTATCTCTATGGAGTTTGGGGCCCAGCATGGTGGCATGTGGTAGGGTTCTGGTTTCCCAACTCGGAAGCTCTCTGAACCCAGTCCTTCTGGGTTTTATGGAGGCTTCATTACACAGGCATGATGCATTACGTCATTAGCCATTGGTTATCGAACTCAATCTCTATAAACCCTCTCCCCTCCTCAGAAGGTGGAGGGGTGGATTTGAAAGTTCCAACACTCCAATCTCAATGTTGGTCTCCAGCCCCCATTTTAGTTGCTTTCCCAAAGTCCCCACATTAGCATAAACTTGGGAGTGGTTGAAAGGGATTTGCTATGAATATCAAGACACCTTTATAGCTCCTATTAATGAAGGAAAAGAGGCAAGCTAAGGACAAAACACAAAGCTGACACACCATGATCCCCACACCCCCAGGTGGGATCTGTGTGACACTCCTCAGGTACTCCAGGCTGCCCTAAAGCTAAGGGAAGGGAAAAACAAATGGTTAGTTAATAGAGATCACAGGCCAGAAAGACCTGAGTCTCCCTCAGTTTACAAAAGTCTTAGTGATTTTCAAGAAAAAAGCTTTCTTATCACTAGCCTAATTTCCAGAGATCCAAAGACTCAATTTCCTGGAGCCCTTAACATCACCCATCCCTCCACAGTGATGTGGGAAAGAAGGATAGAAGGGAAAGTAAATACAGTAAAATTTCCTTATAACCTGCAGCCCACTGAGGAGGACTCTTGATAGGCAGAGTATAACATTCCTCCAGGAAGCTCCCAGCTATCTTAATGTTAATGCATTACTAGAGGGGAAAACCACCTTGACTTCACAATAACAAGGCCTCCAATATCCTGTAGGTCCTCTTTAACATACAAAAGTTCTCTTGAAAACTTCATTTTACCTTACCTCCCCCAACTCCCCAGTATATAATCAGTCACCCCTCACAACCCCAGAGGGAAGCAGCTTTTTCTGCCTCCCAGGAGTCACTTCCCAAGCTCTAATAAAACCACCATTTTGCACCAAAGATGTCTCAACAATTTTCTCTTGGTCGTTGGCTCCAGAACTCACCCCACCAAAACTCACCTACATTTAAAACTACATCATTATCACGTAGGACATTTCAAAAGTTTTAGGAGCTCTGGGCCAGAATCTGGATGAAGACCAAATATAGATTTCTTATTACAAATCACAAAATCATAAGCAGCATCCCCAGGGCCTGCTTCAATCATCAGGCTCATCCTCACTTTCCATGAGCAGTCTCTGATTCAGTCTGAGGATTGATTTCCCCAGGTCAGACCAGAGTAGGGTTCTAGTTGCTGGAGTAAAGTTAGCTCCGTTCTAGTTGCTGGAGTAAAGTTAGCTCCGGGTGGGATGTGATGCTTGTCCTCATGGCTCATCCCTCTCTCATTGCGTCTCTCAGGTGGCTTCTCAGGTCCCTCACAGAGTCTCATTCTGATTGGTGGGGTCCTGGGCCTTCCTCTTTCATCCCTACACCCCCTCCTTCAGAAGCCTCAGATTTCAGGGCTGATGAAAATAGGTGGGGGCTCTTGTCAGGCTAATGATTTATCTTACATTTAAATCAACATTCTTTAAATATTTATTCAACATCGAGTTAGAAGAGGATGACGGGCACCCGGATCTCATACTTTGTTGAACCCACCTCATTCAGAACTCCTCTTAGAAACCAACATTGCTTATTTGAACAAGTTTCTTTGGCAGGGGCTTGGGGGGCGGATGCTAATCTTGTAATGCAAGTGGTTTGTCAAATATTCTTTTTTTAAAAGATTTTATTTATTTATTCATGAGAGACACACACACACAGAGAGAGAGAGAGAAAGAGAGCAGAGACATAGGCAGAGGGAGAAGCAGGCTTCCTGCAGGGAGCCCAATGCGGGACTTGGTCCCAGGACTCTACCAGGATCACGCCCCAAGCTGATGGCAGATGCTTAACCAACTGAGCCACTCAGATGCCCCAAATGTCTTCATCTTAATACATTTCCTGGGATGCTGTCCTGGCAGCTACCCTTAGCTGCCCCCAGATGGTCCACCCCGTTCCAGCTCTGCTTGGTTGCAAAGAACTTGCTCTCAACCAGCTGTTCACCTAAAAGCACCAAATTAACCAAATTGCTCTAAAGTGTGAATGGCTGATAGCCAGTTTTATGAGCTCAAGTCTCCAGTGAGTTTCTATGTTCAAGGTTGTCTTAAACAGCCCGGGGTACTTTGTCGCCAAATGTCCCCAAGTAAGGCAGGGTGTTGCTGGGAGTAGCCTGGACTGATTCAAAGTTGTGGCTTCAGCATAGACTTGTCACGTTGCTGCAGAGCACCATGATAGATAATGAGAGCATTATGAGTCTGAGGTTGGAAATGAGTTTTTCCTGAAAAAATTTTAGCAACCGTATAAACAAATAGAAAGAAGGCTGGCGGGTCTATTATCAATGTGTTGCACAATAAAAAAGGGCCACACCTATTTGAAAAGTTTCCAATTCAGTGTGTCAAATTTGAGTGCCAGGGAAAGTTATTAAGGGAGCAAAATATTCACTGCGTCTGTCAACTCTGAATCCTGAGAGCCTTCTCCCATGCACCATTTTTCAGAAGGTTATTATTTCAACCTGAAAATTCTTTAGACATATATATGTGGTATAGAAAAGGAATTAGGAAAGCTTTTAAATTAAAAGAAATAAAACGACAGGTTTTTCCTCTAGCCATATAAATGGTTATGGATAGAGATAAAGAGATGGATATTTTTTCATAATACTTTATGAGAGGTTTTGGAGCTCCAGAAATTTGAGTCGGGCTGGTGAATAATTTAGCACTGACTCCTGCAGGCCCAGTGCAGGCGCGGTTGGGCTGGGAATCAAGCCTAGTCTCTTGGAGGGTCTGAGAGCAGTAATACACTTTTATTACCAACCACATCATGAAATGCACTTCAGAAATATTTTATGAAACGCCAAAACCTTGGTGCCTGGTTTCCCCAGCTTTTTCCGAGATGGCATGAAGCCCAAAGGAGCTAATGCTCTTGAGCACCTCATTTCAGGGAGGCTGTCCCCCAGGCTGTTGTTGCAGTGACAAAGAGGCTCAGTCCCTGCAGTCATAAGCAAGAGCCTCAAACGGGCCATCACAGTGATGGATGGTATAAGGTTCACATGAGATCATACCTTTAGTGACCGTGTCTTCAATGTCTTCTCTTTCCCACACGCTCTTCAACCCTAGCTCCAAGAGGCCTGGCTTCTGTGCAGGTGCAATGATATGTCCACCTGAAACAGGAATAGGGAGGGAAGAAGTATGTTGATGGTTCCAAAATAAGGAGTCTCAGTTTCCCTTTCCATCCCAGCCGCCGTATCTCCTTTCCAGTAAACTTGGAGGTACACCATGCAGGTGTCGAAAGCAAAGAAAACTGTACTTATTAAGCTATTGTTTCCTCTGCAGAGGGTTCTATTCGTTTTTTCAGTGTCTCTCGTTCATTCTCCTAGCATTGCCATAAAGCAGTAAATATTTAAGGAAAAAGTTCTACAGAATGAATGTAACTCCAGACATGTGTTTAATGTGACAAAACTCTTCTGAGATCTTTGCAGGTGGCTATAGTAACATGCTTCGGTGATCTGATGTTGACAGACAGATGCCCGGCACTTCCTCCAGGAAGCCGCCTATTACCCCTAAACCAGAGCCCCTCTTCTGGGCATAATGTCCACATCACTCCTGCGTCCTCATGTCATAAAAGTCACCACTTATTGTAAGGCTCTTCATCTGTGCTGTTCTCCCTCTGGACTCTATCCTGCTCACTGCTTTGGCTCTCATCCCGTGCACAATGCAGCACAGAGAGGTTCACCAAATACTCATTGAGTAAATGGATGCAGCAGGGTAAAGGGCAATCCCCTCAGGCTAGAAGCACCCCTTTCAGAAGCATCTATTACGGGGCGAGGAGCTTCTGTGTCAGCAGTCTGTCAATCTGTCTAAGCATGGCTCCCATGCAACACTTGGACCAGTTCTCCCCCTGCACAATTCCCAGGGCCCATCGACACCATCCATTACAGGATGATTATGTCTTCTTGGGCTTGCTTCCCACAAATTCTCTGAGCCTTCTCCAAAGGGGACACTGAGCCTTAGGGAGCTCATACGTACTTGCAAAAATCAATTAACCCTGGAGGGAGGAAAGAGCCAGCCTTTGGCTACAGTGTAGGCTTGCTCATTTAAGTTCTTCCTGAATAAATTAACCTTCCCTAGAAGACCCCATGGAACCTGAGAGTTGGTAGAAGCAGAAAGATCATTTAGTCCTGAAAGGGCAAATAGATTTCATCTCTGGTGAATCCTCCTTCTGTTCTATCAGTAGCGGCTGCTTGAAGCATGGGGTTGGGAAAGACTCTGAGGCTGTATCATCGGGAAGGAGAGTGGTTATCGGTGGACTTGCCAGTGCCCAGGAAGGAGAAGTGTTGGAAGTGACATGAATGCCAGGTGTCTTCCTCCTCCTGTTCTAATCTGACTGCTCACCAATTGGAATGTTTACACTTCCTCTGGTCCGTGCAACTTGCACAGTGGCTGCCCAAATTTGCAGCCCGTTTTTCCGGCAGACAACTCTGATGTTAGAAATGTTCTTCTCCCGTGAAATTAAAGCTTCCTCTCCTTTCTGCTTCTACCCATTGACCCCTTTTGTCTCACCCTAAGAGTTGACGACTTTACTCTTGGAAAGCTGGCCCAATCTTTTTTGAACCAACTAAGTCAAAAGTCACCAAATGTGTTAGCAAAATCCTCTTCAGTTTCCTTGATTAAAAATCGATTCCTTTGATGTGCTATTTTATCATCTATTTCTCCAACTAGGTACAAGCATAGTCATTCACTCTTTTAAGGAACCTATATTTATTTACAACATTTTACACATCTTTGATATTCTCAAAATTATAAAAGTGGTATGTGCTTATTGTACCAAGTAAATCAATATGAAGATGCATACAGAAAAAGCTAATCATTCCCCCCAAACTCAGACCCTTGATGTCACATTTTACTAGACCAGTCTGTACTTTTCCACTGTCATGAGTCAAGTTTCCAGGAAGCAGACTGAAATACATTATGTACACTGAAGGATCACTGAGACATACTCTTGGGGAGGGTGTGGGGGGACTCGTGGAGGAGTCCAGGAAGCAGAATTGGCCAGAGGGAGCTCTGGAGCTGTCTTGCATTGAGAAGGGACAGGACTTTAGACCCCACCAGTCATTGGCTGCCTCTAGGGAGACAGCAGGCATAATGCTGGGCAAAGCAGCTTCCTCTGACTGAGGGTGAATCCTGGACAGGAACCCAGCTGTGAGTTCTGAGCTGCCAGTACGTCCTGCACCTGGGGGGTGAATGCCTCTGTGGGGTGGTCTCTCACAGCACCCACAACACACACCCTCTCTCATGCTCATTGAAACCCAATCAGGCATATATACACAGATACGTGATGGGGTGTTTTTTATAGTTTTTAACTGAAATTCTCTGCAACTTGTTTTGACTTAACATATGAGCATCACCACTTTTTCCCTAATTTACTTATGCATACATACACATATTTTCACAAAAAGGATGGTATTATACATCGAGGTTTTTTTTCGTGCCATGTCCTTATTTTTTTCTATTACTTGCCTCTCTCCACCCATTTGCCCCCCTGCACCAACCATATTCCCCTCAACCCACATGCTGACAGCATGAAATGTAGACTTCTGTCCTTTCCTTTATGCTCATACCCATATATGACTATGGGTAGATGCTCTGATTTGGTGCTTTGGTCATTGGCAGCAACCATTTATTAAGAGCCTTCTCAGTAGCCGGGTCTATGGCAAGCACTAGGGATACAAGAGGAGGGCACAGCCCCTGCCATGAAGGAGCTCCTGCCCTTGGGGGACAGAGACACTGGACAGGAGGTACAACAGATGACGTTCACTTGCAGAGGCAGGCACCAAACACACAGTTACTTCGAGAATTAGAGCTAGAATGTGGTGTCCCTGTGTTCTAGTCCTTTCCATTTAACTAGCTTTTATTTCTTTATTTACACACTTATTTTATTTTTAACTACCTTTTTTTTTTTTTTTAACAGATTTCAAACTACAGGCTGAGCAACAACCACACTGAATTTGAGCAATCCTGTGGGCTGGTCTTCCTGAAGTCATGAGCTTACTCACTGTGTTCTAGAAGCTCATATTGAACCTGATGTATGGCCCTTATATGACATGATGCATGTGACCTCACTAGTAGACACATATGATTTAACAGGCCAGACAGCCCTAAAGAGACCACACAAAAGCACCATCTTAGAGTAGATTTTCATACAACTGCTGACAAGGCAAATGATTATTATAATAGAAATTGACACTGGTGGGTCACAACATGAGCAAGTGTAACATGTAATGAGTTCTGAGACAAAGCTGTTGGATCAATACCTAGTGCTGGGCTCTTGCTTCTATGTCCCCCCTGCCTACACACTGAGGTGTGGGGGACTGAGGGAGAGGGAACCATAGTAGATGCACATACAACCAAGGAGCATGGTGACCTGACTCCCCAGCAACTTCAGCAAATTGAAGTGTTCTTTCTGTTCATTCTCTCAACCCACTCATCTACTTGCACTTCTGTTCTTTATGCCCAACACTGCCTTGATAGCCATTTTCTGGGATCAGCTTGTAACAGCTCCTCTTTGAAAAAATAAGTTTACCTATTAAATATGTCCAAAAAATGTGCATTATATTTTCTCTCCACATCAAGTACTGACCCCTCTTCTACTGAATGTGAGTCTAGCTACCTGAGGGGCTGGGCCTGGACTTTGTTGCTTGGGCTCCCTGCCCATGACCGCCCAGGCAGAATCTGGGGGAATGAGTGGTCTGGAGCATGGCACTCATGATGCCCTATTGACCCCAAGCACAGATTTCCTCCAAAGCCCTGTGTCTTTTTCTCTTTTGACCTAGGTAAATCATGGGCAGTAGAAGGACACTACCAGGACAGGAGAGATGCACCTGCAGAGGTTTCAGATTTCACAAACACAGTTTATTTTGATAATCAGCATAAACCTAGGTACTTGGGTGGTTTGGGTTTGTTTACAGCAAATTGCTGAAGATGTCCCAGAAAAAGCCATGTGATTGCAAGGATGCTGATCAGTCCTAGACAAGACCATCCGGTGTGCTAAAGTATTGTCAATTCATATATTTTCTCTTCCTGCAGTTGGCTGCTGAAACTGGATCATATTTTCAGTACAATGGCCAACAAATTACACTTAGTCATCTTAATAAGAAAATGGGAGCAACTTTTGGTAATCTGACCCAAATTCAGCTCCTAAACTCCCAAAGTCTTCTAAGAGAAGGGATCTTGAATGACTACTACTTGGAGCTTCTATTTTCAGGCCTATACATCTGAAGGTTTCTTATAAGGATTTCTCCTACTAACTGGTACTGCCAAGATACTGTAGTTCAGAAGGATATGGAAAGCTAATAAATTCATGATCTATTGCTGTATAAAGATGACTCCCAAACTCACTGGCTTAACATAATAAACATTTATTATTTCATGGTTTCTGTGGGTCAGGAACTGAAACCTGGGTGGTTCAAGCTCAAGGTCTCATGAGATTTCAGGTAAGATGTCAGTGAAAGCTGTGATCACCTGAAGACTTGCTGGTGGCCCTGTTTACACAAGGGCTCACTTCGATGATGCTGGTTGTTGCAGGAGGTGTCCCCACAGGGGCCTCTGCAGGGCTGCTTGTGTGTCCTCACAGCATGGCTGGCTTCCCCCAGAGTGAGTGATCCAAGACAGAGCCAGGAGGCAGCTACCACCTCTTTTATGACCCTCCTTATGATTTCTGCAATATCTTATTGGTTACACAGGTTAGCGCTATTTGATGTGGGAGGGGACAACATAAGGGTATGAATACTACAACGCAAGGAATAATTGGGGCTCATCTTGAAGGCTAGCTGCCATGGTGCCTTTTTGCCTTTATCAGTAATGGTAAATACTTTATAGAAAAAAAGCATCTTCATCTCTCATACCTCCACGGAACAAGAAATGCAAGAATGTGGAATTTGGCTCAAATTCTAACTCTTACCAGCTACACATTTTTGGAAAAGATATTTACTGAATTCCTCCAAACACACCTTTTCTAATTTGTAAAGTGGGGATCATATTCCCTTACAGGATTGCTGGGAGGATTAACTTAGATAATATACGTGAAAGGCTTATTAGCTCAGCATATGGCAGAAGGTAGGAACTCAAATCCTATTAGCTTCTCTCTCTTTCTCCCTCATTCTCT